TTTTTTTTTTTGGCGAAAACTGACATAATGGTCATAATGGCAACACTAGTTGCCCATTGCTATAAACGTACAAAACTTTCCCACGGAGAGAATGAAACTGTTTTGATTAAGCCAAAGATCGATCACTTTTGAATTCTTATAAAAGTTGAGTTCCAAACTGTCTGAGGCTTTTAGATCTGTTCTGAGACTGATATATTCTTTAGACTGAGGAGAAATGAACAGTAACCGGTAGCTTTTGATATGTAATCTAGCGGCTTTTATAGTCGGTGATCAAGGTCCGAGCAAATGAACACGAAGACAGACCAGTACACACTGAGACAGTTTGTGATTTGTTGGTAATAAGTTTCCCCTTGCAACCAATCCTTGACTTTCATGTTTGTTAATTGGCATCGAAATCAGGGCAACCAACACCCGGTTAAGCAGAGAAGAAGCTATTTCTCAAAATTCTTTTCCTTTTCTACCATAAAGTGACCTTGATGACATGATTTCATCTTAACAACAACTTTCCGTGATTGGATTCGAGTTGCACGATAGGAACTTGAAGGAGTAATCTATTTCTTAAGTATGGGTGGAAACTACTGCAAAACTACGTACGTCGAATGTTTAACATGATTATGATTGACTCTTAGCTTTTATTCATATTCAAACATTACTTTGAAGTTTTATGCAAATAACAATTAAGAGGTGTAAACTAAAGCACTCTGTTCAAAAGCACAAGTGGAAATCAAACCAACATAAATGAGTTCTTAGGAATTAGCCAACGTGAACTCCAGCGCCGATAAATTTTATTTCATCGCATACTGCTTCATTTCAAAAAAAAAAAAACAGATCATAGGCGAGGCCAGTATAATGGGTAGAAAACTGGTGTAACATGTCTAATTTTAAGTGTTTTAGAAGCAGTTGCGAAATCACAGCAGTTCAACTAGAGAGATACCATCTGAGGAAATAACAAACCATTGTTCAGTTGACGTCATCCGCACCTCGCCTCAGGTGGTGCCTCCATCTTTAGTCTCCACGAAATCAAATTACTCTTCCAAGTTTATTGCTGCTATTTTTTTTTTTTTCTGACATCTGTTAATGTAGATTTTTTTCTCTGTATCTTGAAACAAAAAGTGCTAGTCTGGATAGAGTTTTTAAGGTGTAACCAACATGTTTGGCTAGAGAAGAAGGTATTACAAAGAGTTCATTCTTTAACCACCAAGCGCAACCATGGCATTAATTATTGCAACAACGTTTTGATTGATTAAATCATTGAAACGTGAAACGTGAAAGAGTGCTCTAATTCTTCTATATGGGTGAACACTCTTCCAAAACTACATATATGATTATGATTGACTCTTGGTTTGTATTCATAGGCAATTGATAAAGACTAGAACTTGAGATAAATCGGTCAAAAAGCTACACTTGTTCGGTGCGGAAAATTTCATTGCAGTTTTATGCAATTAAAGATCAGGTTTTGTCTCTGCAACAAATTAACTAAAGCACTTTGTTCATAGAAAACAGTGAAAGACAAATGGACGCAACAGAGTTCTTAGGAATTAGCCAAAGTGACCTAGAGCGCAATAAATTTTGTTTTCTCGCATACCCCGTCACTTTAAAAGCAAAACAGATCATAGACGAGCCCAATGTAATGGGTACAAAATTGGTGTAGCATGTCTAATTAAACCGTCTGTAACACTGTTGCCAAATCTTGGCTGAAAGTAAAGGAACACGATCTGATAAAGTCAATGATGTTACAACGTTAGATTAATAGCATTAATTTTTCAAGTTTGTATCTAGCTTACACCTGAAGAAGGACATGTGTTTCCAAATTTGCAACTCGCGCTAGCTGCTAAAAAGAGCTCATCAGTATTCAAGCGTGAAACCGACCCATTTGGATGTCTCATAAATCTTGAAACTGTCTTCTTATGCAATAATTGAAATGTTTTAGTTGAAATCGTTCTCCGGAAACTTATTTTCTTCATCAAAGTTTGATGCAACTCTTAAACATTTTACAGAAGGAATGTGTAATTGCCGGCCAATTTATCTCTCGATTTAAATCTCAGTAGCTAAAAGTATCGAAAAACAACATCTTCAGCGTATCAAAAATGTTCGTCAGATCCCAGCATGAAGACATTAACTCGTTCTTCCCATGTATCAGTTATAATGGTCTAATGTTTTTAGGGCTGTGTTTCAAATAGCTTTTGCTCTGTTTACCGTAATGTTTGCTGAGAGAGCCACGCCCCAGAAAGAGGAATAGTGATTACATACCAGTCTAATTCTTGACAACTTGTTCCTGTTTAACAGCGGCTTTCTTTGTGAACGTTTGAGAATCTTCTGATTGCCAAGGAGATAGCAAAATAACAAAACATTCTTTAATCGACGTCATCCGCCCATATAGTCCCGTCGTCTCTGGGATTGCCTTCATTTTTAGTCTCCAAGCTAGTACTACACTTCCTTTCTTGCTGTGAATCTCCCAGTGTATTGTTGCTGTCTTCCATTTCTTTGACATTTATGAATGCAGGTTTGTTTGTCTTTATTTTAAAACGCAGAGTGCTAATCTGGATAGAGTTAGTGTAGTGTTTTAGTTCTTSAAAAGCGTTGCCGTTTGGTTACTTTTGGACGACGATCAAACGTGTTTGTTGACTCGAGAAGTTTTCCGTTATCACTTACAAACATTGGCATAATGGCAACACCAGTTGTTAGCTCTTTTATTAAGCATTGCTGTGCTATTACATTGGTTGTGTTTGCCCATCCGCTATCAACACAACTCTTCTACGAAGCTAAGAGAGTTGTTTTAGGCTTTATCGATCACTTTTGAATGCTCAAAAAAGTTGAGTTCGAAAAACGCCTAACGCTTTCAGAATTGGGGAGATAATATTCTTTAGAGCGGTCAAGCAAAATGAACAGTAACCGATAGCTTTTGATGTTTAATCTAGCGGATTTTGTAGTCGGGGATCACTATCTGAGCAAATGAACATGAAGACAGACAAGTTCACACTGAAGACAGTTTGTGATTTGTTGGTAATAACTTTCACCCCTTTACTGCCAGTCATTGAGTTTCATTTCTGTCAATCGTCATCGAAATCAGCGTGACCAACACCGCTGAGCAGAGAAGAAACTATTTCTCAAAATTCTTGATTTCATCTTAACTACAGTTTTCTGTGACTGTTTTCGAGTCGCATGATAAGAACTTGAAGGAGTAATCTTTCTTAAGTACGGGTGGAAACTACTGCAAAACTACGAACATCGAATGTTTAAACTGATTTTGATGTACTCTCAGTTTGTATTCATTGGTATTTCATAATACTCTAGGAAATGCGGTTAAAATTGAATAGTCTGAAAAGCAAACATTTGGCGAAACTTCGATTGCAGGTTAATACGAATAAAATTTAGACTTAATGTTTTATCTCCGTAACGTAAAAACTAAGGCGTTCTGTTCAAAACCAGAAGTGGAAATCAAACCAACATAACTGAGTTCTTAGGAATTAGCCAAAGTGAACTCTAGCTCTGATAAATTTTATTTCATCGCATACTGCTTCATCTCAAAATCAAAACAGATCATAGACGAGGCCAATATAATGGGTAGAAAACTGGTGTAGCATGTCTAATTTTAAGTGTTGTAAAAGTAGTTGCGAAATCACAGCAGTTCAACTCAAGAGACACTATCTGATGAAGTCAATGACGTTAACTAACTCGGTCTCTATGTTATGTATTATTATCATGGTTTTTAGTCAGCAGAACTGTGTTTAAAAATAGCTTTGTTTTCTTTACCGTACTGTTTGCTAAGCGAAAGCCACGCCCCAGAAAAAGTAGTAGTGATTAATTTTCAATTAATTTCTTGACAACTGGTTCCTTTTTAATAGCGGCTTTCTTTGAAAACCTTCGAGAAACTTCTCATTGCCAAGGAGACAGGAAATAACAAACCATTGTTCAGTTGACGTCATCCGCCCCTCGCCTCAGGCGGTGCCTCCATCTTCAGTCTACACGAAATCCAATTACTCTTCCAAGTTTATTGCTGCTATTTTTCTTTTTCTGACATCTCGTTGAATGCAGATTTTTTTCTCTGTATTTTAAAACGATAAGTGCTAGTCTGGATAGAGTTTTTAAAGAGTTCATTCCTTTACCATCAAGCGACCCAGCTGATGGCTTCATTTAATTATTACAGCAACGTTTTGATTGATTAAATCATTGAAACATGAAAGAGTGCTCTAATTCTTCGGTATGGGCGAACAGTCTTGCAAAACTACATACATAATTGTGATTGACTCTTGGTTTGTATTTATAGACAATGGATAAAGACTAGAACTTGAGAAAAATCAGTCAAAAAGCTACACTTGTTCGGTGAAAATTTCATTGCAGTTTTATGCAATTAACGCTCAGGTTTTGTCTCTGTAACAAATAAACTGAAGCACTTTGTTCATTGAAAATACTGAAAGACAAATGGACACAACAGAGTTCTTAGGAATTAGCCAAAGTGACCTAGAGCGCAATAAATTTTGTTTTCTCGCATATTGCTTCACTTTAAAAGCAAAACAGATCATAGGCGAGCCCAATGTAATGGGTACAAAACTGGTGTAGCATGTCTAATTAAACCGTCAGTAACACTGTTGCCAAATCTTGGCTTAACGTAAAGGAACACGTTCTGATAGAGTCACTGATGTTACATCGTTAGATTAATAGCATTAATTTTTCAAGTTTGTATCTAGCTTACTCCTGAAGAACGACATGTGTTTCCAAACTTGTAACTCGCGCTAGCTGCTAAAAAGAGCTCATCAGTATTCAAGCGCAAAACCGACCCATTTGGATGGCTCATAAATCTTCAAACTGTTTTCTTTTGCGATTCTTAAAATGTTTTAGTTGAAATCGTTCTCCGAAAACTTATTTTCTTCATCAAAGTTTGATACAACTCTTAAACATTTTACAGAAGGAATGTGTCATTGCCGGCCAATTTATCTCTCGATTTAAATCTCAGTAGCTAAAAGTATCGAAAAACAACATCTTCAGAGTATCAAAAGTGTTTCGTCAGATAATAATAATTCCCGCATGAAGACATTAACTCGTTCCTCTCATGTATCAGTTATAATGGTCTAATGTTTTTAGGGCTGTGTTTCAAATAGCTTTTGCTCTGTTTACCGTAATGTTTGCTAAGAGAGAGCCACGCCCCAGAAAGAGGAATAGTGATTACATGTCAATCTAATTCTTGACAACTTGTTCCTGTTTAATAGCGGCTTTCTTTGTGAACGTTTGAGAATCTTCTGATTGTCAAGGAGACAGCAAAATAACAAAACATTCTTTAATTGACGTCATCCGCCCATATAGGCCTCTCATCTCTGGCATTGCCTTCATTTTCAGTCTCTAAGCTAGTACTACACTTCCTTTCTTGCTGTGAATCTCCCAGTGTATTGCTGCTCTCTTCCATTTCTTTGACATTGTGAATGCAGGTTTGTTTGTCTTTATTTTAAAACGCAGAGTGCTAATCTGGATAGAGTTTAAGTGCAGCGTTTCAGTGCTTCAAAAGCGTTGCCGTTGGGTAATGTTTGGACGTCGATCAAACGTGTTTGTTGACTCGAGAAGTTTTCCGTTATCACTTACAAACATTGGCATAATGGCTACGCCAGTTTTTAGCTCTTTTACTAAGCACTGTTGTTCTATTACATTGGTTGTGTTTGCTCATCCGCTATCAACACAACTCTTCTACGAAGCTAAGGAAGTTGTTTTAGGCTTTATCGATCAATTTTAAATGCTCATAAAAGTTGAGTTCGAAAAACGGGAAACGTTTTTAAAATTGTTGAAAATATATTCTTTAGAGTCAAGCAAAATGAACAGTAACCGATAGCTTTTGATGTGTAATCTAGCGGCTTTGAAAGTGGGGATCACTATCTGAGCAAATGAACACGAAGACAGACCAGTTCACACTGAGTCATTTGTTGGTAAATACAGTAAGCCAACAGTAAGCCAAGTTTTGCCTTTACTTCCAATCATTGACTATCATCTGTTTGTTAATCGGCATCGAAATCAGGATGACCAACACCGTTGGAAAGAGAAAAAGCTTTTATTTGGCAGCATGATTTTGTCACTTCAACAATTTTCTGTGATTTGATTCGAGTCCCATGGCAGACGGGGGGGCAGGGTAAGGAACGAAAACTACTGGAAAACTACATACGCCGAATGTTCTTGGTTTGTATTCTAAGGTAATTGGTAGAGACTAGAAATTAAGATGAAAAATTAATCAGAAAGTCAAACGTTTTGTGGAAATATGATGGCCTTTTTATGTAAATAACAATTAGACTTTAAGTTTCGTCTCGGTACCACATAAACTTAACCGCTCTGTTCACATACAGCAGTGGAAGAGAAACGGGAAGCTCAATATTGCAGACTTCTTGATTTTAAAACCAAAACAGATAACAGAAGTGCTGCTCAACTGTCACTTGCAGGGTGGCGAAATCATAGCAGTTGGACATATTTATTGTCATGGTCTGCTGTCCTCAGGGCTGTGTTTCAAATAGCTATTTTTGCTTTGCTTACCGAAATCAGGTTTGCTAAGCGTCAGGCAGGCCCCAGAAAACGGTTATTGTGTCTTAAAGACAGCTGTTCGTCTCGTTTTTTTTCAGTGCGCCTTTCTTGACTTAAATTGTATATATGACTTCAACAATTTTTTTTCGATTGAAACAAATCCGTACTGTGTAATTTTCTAAGGGTACACCTCGGAATTATACTAAACATTCTGACTTGTAAACATCTGTTTAATGTAAAATTTGAATTAAAACAAGCACAACTAGTTTTCTAAATTTTAAAAACATAACTCGGATTTA